TGAAATTTACTCATCAGTATATATTAAATTGCAGGAAACGCAGTATCCTTATAATCACAGATTTTCATCACTTTGTCATATCAGATTGCGTAATAATAAACTAACGTCCATTCTTAGTAGATATAGCGAATGGCTACTAAAAGTGCTACGATCAAAGATTACTGCAAGCGGAACGTTTCCGCCATGTCGCCGTGATTTCTGCGCGTGGCAGCTAACTTCTTTCTTTGTTGCTCCGTCGGCATCCGGAGATGCAAGAAATGGGAAGGAAATAAAGAATAAGGGAAAATACGGAGATAGAGAGAAAGAGAGAACGGAAACTGGCGGGTCGGCAAATGCCAACAAGTTGGCCGTAATAGGTCGCCCCGATCAGGCGGTGGTCTGTCTCTTTCTCTCTCTCCCTCTCTCTTTCTCTCATGAAGCCACGGGTCGAGGAGAGCGAATCCGTTGCATGCCACAAATTGGCTCAAATATTTACGCAATTGGCATGATAACCACATTACGTGATTATGTACGGTTGTTGCGCGCGATCCCGATGCTCACCCTCTCGTCCCATCATCAGCACCCTCCGCTTCCTCTCTCCTCTTCTCCGTGTCTCTCGCGGCCCACCTCCACCTCCTCCATGACCTCCCGTATAAACGGCAAATCAGGGTTATTAAACGACCGTTCGCGGGACACGCATTGTTCGCGCTAGCCATGCAACTTCCGCCTAGAAGACCTTCCTGCAAGCTTCGCCCCTTGCTCCTCGCCGTTTTTCTGTCTGCGCTCACTTCTTTGTAGCAAATACTATTTTTTTTACATACGAGATCGCCAGTATTGCAATGTTTTTTTCAAAGGCATTACCAATTACAGAGATTGTGTTCGGCATTTGTATCGATGCAGCAACGCAGATAGAGAAAAGATAAAAATTTTTGAGTACTAAGATATAAAAACGAAGAATATATTAAATAAAGCAATATTGTTGCATAGATTCGGTTTACATTAAAATATTAATTTAATATTAATTTCTTTTAAAGTTATAATCCTTTATAAATATTTATTGCTTATTGTAAGCTATTAATAAATAATTTCTGATAATTATATATTATATCATCTAATTTTATTGTCACTGATTAATAATACTTCAGTTTCTTATTTAAAATAAGATATTTTATACTTTAACAATAAACTGTATTTATAAATATGATTATATGACAGGATGAGAGAGTAGCTACAATATTCGCTCGCCACCTACAAAGATTGTGCTTTTAACGTGTCATTTTCATTCCCGAACGGTGCAAAACATCAAAACATCAAGGCCGAAATGTAATAATCGGTCATTTGAATAGATTACTAAATACGACTGGGAAATACCTACTCACGCAACATTGTACAGACTGCTGATCGGGATAAAGTCGACAGTGACTTGCATGAAAATTTATCACATGATATTTTTTATTTTGCAAAATGATATGATCAAACAGTCTAAACGTTAACGAATTATCACTATATTATAATCATGATACATATGAAACATTGTTTATTGGATCTAAAATAGAATAAAAATTTAATCATATTGAACAAAATAACGGACACATATCTTAATATTAATAGCTAAAAAAAAGTCAAATACAGAATTTCATTTAATAACGTATAATTATTAAGAGAAATAGATTGTAAACTATCAGAAATGTCTATTTGATAAGATTCAAATTGTAGATTTTCATAAAAATGGCAAAAATTCTAAAAGCTGTCAGTACTTTATACCCCCTATTATCCAAATATGGCAGTTGCCCCTAAGCTAAGTTTTATTCCGCGATTTCGCTTCGGCGGTCGCTTCTTCGAAAATACAGTTACTTCGGCCGTCGATCTAGCGTCGATCCGTTACGTAACACTCCGTGGAAATGTTCGCTCGTGTTGGCTCGGGTCGGCACGGAGCGCGCGTTACGTGCGGTTTCCGTAAATTGCTATGTGCGAACCCGGCTGATCCGCGTCGCGCACGATGTACATACTCGTCGACGTGACGGCGTTGGTACCCTCAAGATGCGATCCTGCGAAAAAGGCGCCCCTCGCACAAGTCAGCACGCCGCGCCGCGGGGGAAAGCGACCACGGAAAAATCGCTGCATGAAAACCGCACGTGGCCGAGGAAAGTGGCAGAGAAAACGACGTTTCGTGCACGTGCGAATTATACATCGCGCGCGATTATTATGCAAAAAGTGTCAGGAAAATATAGGAAAAAAATTGGGAACGCGTGAGGATGTTTCAACGAAGGGATCATGCTTGGCGTCATTATTTGGAAAGTTCATGTCGATACGTGGTAGCAGTTTTAAGGGATATATCGATGTATAGAAATTTTAATTGCAGTCCAATCAGAAGAAATCGCACCTTCGAAAATCACACATCTACTATCTGAAAAATAATAATTGTCATTGAGTAACGCTTTATCATATAATGAAAAATATCAATGCGAAGTTTGTTATCAGTAAAAAATGTATCCGTTTAGTATTTACATTATTATCTCTGCGAAAAATAAAGTGATTTTATATGTTGTATTTACAAGTTATATAGCTAGATAAAACTTTCAGAAAGAAGTTACGCTGAAAGATAATCTGCATCTTCTTATAACCAAGTAACTACTACCTGTAGATAATCGAATCTATACTTGTATGAAATCACAAAACTATTGAAGCTAAGAACTATACTTATATCTTAAAAAGTAAACAGAGCTATATATATGTGTAGCTATATTTAACTAAAAAAGTGAAGCTATAAGATATACTTATACCTCTTATGCTTTTTTAATTTATTGGTTTATAAAAATGGATGTATATAACATAAATAACAGTTCACCAAAATATATTTTAATTATTGAAACAAATTATGGACAATATGGCGCACGAAGAAGAAAAAAATTTTCTCTTTCCGATAATCTTGTTCGAATTTAGGTCATCATGAAAAAGAGTGAATTACTTCGCAGTTACCACATAATGAATTAAAATGACTAGTTGCGGCGGTGAGACTCAAACACAAAACATCACTTTAAAGGCAAGAATTGTAATTACAACAATTTATTGTTACCAGGAACAGCCTATAGCGAAGAATATTTGAATTCAGTTATTCAATAGATCGATGGCGCTATCTAGTGATATCTTCTCCAAACACATTCATCAAATGGTCTGACTGACGACATCTTGGATTTCAATGTGGAACACTCTACGATTTTACATTGCACATTGATATTTTATTTTTAAATACAAAAATATATATTTTAATATTTCAAATCATAAACAAAAAATTATATTAATTATATTAATTTTTATATTATTATCATTTATTTTAAGTAAAATAAAAAGATAGTGAAATGAGAATAATAGTTATTAAGATTTAAAAATAAAAGTTGGAAAAATAATAAATATTCTATTATAAGATATTCTATTATAAGATATTCTATTATAAATCGTAAATTTAATTATTCATTGCAAACAATAATTGTTTATATATTTATGTCATAATGATCAAATTTTGTATCTATAGTCGATAATATCTTCAATTTTATTTCAAACTTCATGATTTGAGTCATGGAACTTTATCTAAAGTCGATGATCTTCAATAGTATATCTTATTGATGTTCTAATTTGAAATTGTAATTGTATATATTAATTTTCTCATTATTCAAAAATTGTAAGAAAGTTTATTGATAATAGACGCGAAGAATCTCAAAGAACATTTTGAAGTTATATATTTCTATCAGACTGTAGATTAATTTTAATCTTAGTTTACTTTATTTTTATTTTTTAGTACTAGTTAATGTTAATGGAAGTTAATATTGGAAGTGGATATAAGAGATTTTTAAATTTCAAAGATATAATATCAGAAAGATCAGTCATATTTTTGTGACATCTTATATTTTACATCTTGATTTTATGCGAAAATGTGTTATTAATAATTACAAAAAAAAAAATATGGAGACGACCCACATGTCTGAATTCTAATGAGAAATATATCCGTAGATTTCTGCTCCATTAATACAATAACTATTCTTATTTTAAACAAAACCTGTCTCTAATAAGATGTTCATATCGTGATGACTGGAGAGCTTCATGCATTCCTTACGTGCGAAAACTATATTTTGCCTATGAATTGCCTATTTATTTATATTTGTCATTATATTTGTCACATCGTTCAATAACACCTTATTTACATTAAATAGCCTCATGATGCTATGTACTGTATACTTAAAGCTTATTTATTAGAAAATGTATAATTGCACATTTACGTCTCATATACATCTATTTCAATGCTTTCTTTCAATCAATTGTTATTATGTCGATTTTCGATTGTTATATGGATATTTTCGATAATATTATTGTGCAATGTTATTTGAAACAACTGACGCAAAGTAAAGGGATTCGCATATGCAATTTCAGCATACACTCGCAAACAATTGTTGTGCGAGTCGCCGTATATCGATTTTGCCCCAATTATACTATTTCGCCAACAGTTTTCCATAAATTACAAATGTCCGTACAAACGTAATGTATAGAAATAATTAAACAAAATGTATATAGAAATAGAGAAAAATTTTTTGCAAATTTTGTAATTTGTTTTTATAACTTCAATATCTAGATATGAGTATAAGAATATTTATCAGTAAAATTTATCAGTGTAAAAGTTTTTTTTTCATTTTTTTTTTAAATTATAATTTACTTTATTTACTTATTATTCTTTTTAATTACAGTAATTAATAATCTTTAGTTATAGTTTGATAAGTTATAATAAATAAATAAATATTGCATGCACCCATAAAAATATCAGTTGCAATCACAAATTTTGCGAATAGTGCTTTTATCCGTTAAATCATAAAATTAATCGTAAAAGTATTAATTGTCGAAATAATGTCAATATGTTATAATGAAATAAAAATATATTAATGATACACATACGCTATACGAAATTAATTGTAATAAAAATTATCATTTAAAATTTTTTTATTTAGAAAATTAAGGATAAGAAAAAAGAAATGAAATTTTTGAAACTTTATTGTGTTTGGATATATATTTGAACATTGATAAGAACAATCAGTAAAATTGTTTGAATGTGAAATATACAATGTTAATAATCTACATTCTAAACAATTATTTTATTTTCTACGAATTTTTAAATTTTGCTAGTACACATTGTACAATATTATCAAGAAATAAATAAATGCTTAATTTAGACATATCGCTATTTATTAAGGAGTCCTAAATTATTATGGATCTCCATATTCGACATAAAGAAATTAAAGAAGAAAGCGAAATTAGTAAATTGTATTTACGCATCTATCATTTTTATTTCCCGTCACCATAATAGCAAATTTTTTAATAGAGCATTTAATGTTTTCGAAGCGACGAAGAACTTTTGCGTTATTTTGCTTGTGTCATTGCTGATCCAGTTTCGGTTCTCTTCTTCCTCTGCCACACTTCATTCTCGATACTTGAATAAATTAAATAATTATTAATCAATATAATATTCTTTTCTAATAATAATTTGATTTCTTATAAATAAGTACATTAATTGTATTTAGTATTGACATTAATATGTTTTTAGTATAATTAATAGGTATAATTAATAATATTCTTTAAACTATTAAATTACATTATGCTTTAATTAAGCGTTCTTTTTTATAAAATTTTATTCACAACACTTACTCATCACTGTCTCTCGAATATCCAGCTAATGTTCGCCAAAGTTCTCGCGGACCTTCAATTGCAAGAGGAAAATTTTGCCAGGTCCATTCCTCAACTGGCGATATAAATAAAAAAAATATTAAAAATTATTTAATTTGACATGTATAAAGAAATATATATTTTAGCAAATTTGTAACCTTTTGGAGGATAATCTATGCGTCTTTTAGTTAAACTAGGATAAGTTTCTTCTCCATTCTGTAGCGGTAGAGTATTGGTTGACTTAAAAGAGAATATAATTTAGCATTTATTTAATAGCATTTATTTAGTAATCATAATAAAATATAAAAAATTATAATAATTATCACAATAATATTAGTTTTATTAATCAGAAATACCTGTTGATCACTTCTACCAATACGAGGTATATGTTTTTCGGCTTTGTAAAAGAAATCTTCAAATCTTCCACTTCGACCAACTCTAGGTAGGGTAGGTATTTTGGCAATTTTTAAAAAAAATGCAGGTACTTCGTCCGCCATTATGATATTTTGACAGATTAACAATATGACAATTCCACCAAGAAAAGCTGAATATATATTGCATAAAAGATAATGTTAAACATTGTAAATAGACAAAACAATAATTTTTAAATATATTACACTAAATACTAAACTAAATATATATAATCTTTGTAAATTCATGATATAAATTCACAACATATAAAAAAATAATTAGCCAATTAGCGTACCATTACAGAAGATACCTCTGATCCGTTGAGTGTGAGACCTTTGTAGCATCATCTCGAAAAAGTCGTGAATTTAATACCTGTAATGAATCAATCAAGCGCAATTCAGTCTTCAAGAGCAACTTCACCCTTTGAGCACATCACACCGATTGCACATCTCAGAATTGATGGCAACAATTATTTCGATGTGCGCCAATCGACGTGGCATTCTCGAGCGCGATCGACGCGTAAGTGACTGCCATAGAAACCTGCCGAATCCCACGGAAAAGATGCGCGTCTCGCGGGCGTTCGGTGAGCACTGAGCGATTTTTCGCGTACGTACGGCTTCTTCCATTACCGCAAGGAATGGACCGGAGTGCTCGAGGATTGTGGGCGAGAAGAATCGACATGAAGTTTGCACGTCGTGAAACCCCATCGCATTTGAATCACATCGACTGTTTGTCCTCGTTCACAAAACACGCAAGAATATCCAACCGTGCGCCCGCGCGAGTAAAATGCATTCTGTAGAATTGATGCATCGTAGGAGACGTTACGGGAAATGTTTGACATACTGCTATGCTATTGCATGGGAAAAAGTAAATAAAGAAGTTCCGAAATTACCAATGCGCGATCAATAACGTTTTCGATACGGAACTGAGAAAAATAAAATTGTCTCTAAATTTAATCTTTTTAATAGTTATAATGGTACACACGCTATGTAAAAATTAAACTATAAAACAATCATAAGATTTATAAATTATTTTTATAATAATTATTTTAATTAGTATATAATAGTTATTATTTTAATTATTATGAATAAAATTATGAATAAAAATATCTACTTTAACTGTAGCAGCAAAACTATTTGCTATAAAATTCTGTAAAGAGCATACATTATATATTCAGAGATGACATTTACTCTTCTACTTCAAAATCACAAGAAAGATATTGGTTACTCTAACTTAATGTCACGGAGATGTAATACTGAGAAGTGTAAGTTTTTTATAAAAAAATAATGTAACAGAAAAATAGACTTTAATCAATGTAATAATGAATAATATTTCTTACCTGAAAATCAACTGGATACAATGAGCTTAACTCGATTAGATTCAGCATATTTATACTTGATTAAAGAGCAATTGAATATTTAGTTCATGTACGTCTTGTAAATTAACACCAATGTTTGTCTCTCTAACAGTAGTGAATAAATTTATCGATTGCTTTTTAGTAGCAGAAGATTAATCGTCCTCTTTTATGAAGAAAATTTTTGTTCTTTAATCTGATATAAATTTTATATATGTATGTAATATAATTTTAAAGAATATAATTTTTATATTATATTTAATATGTGTGTATTAATTATTGTTGTTATATATAAAAATAAAATTAAATATTTTTGTATATTATACATAAAAGAGTTAAATCTTTTTATTGAACATTATTGTCTCTATTAAACGCTTTCTAATAAAATATTATGTGTAAATATAAAATATTTTATATATTTTTAAAGCAATTAAATTAAATATATGTGCCAATATTTTTGCTGTTGCTGCGTATTGCGTGTCTTTTTTCGACTATAGACAATAGACTATTACCCTTATCCAGGCAGGTGAATAATACGTGCTTTTCATATTAAAGTGCTTTTAATTTACTTTAACTAAAAGTTTCAGTGATCTCTTATATTTATGTAAATTATTTAAATCGAGCATTTTGTCAAATATATTTTATATTTCTTTTAATTACATCAGATATTAATCGACAATTTCTTTATTATATAGTTATTGAAAATTCTAAATTTTTTATAATAAATTAATTAATAAATTATTTAATTTTAATTAACTGTTAAAATAAATAAATTAATTAAAAATTAGAAAGAATAATACTAATTAATATTTTTATTTAGTATGTAGGAAAGGAGATTAATTAAAAGGAGATTAAAGTATTATTAATTAGCTCTTCCTTAAAATCATAATATTTTATTTATTTTAGTAGCTTTTAATAAACAAAACCATATTGTGGAAGCTTATAAATCATGATAAAATTATATATTATAATAATATATTATTATTTAGATATAAAGTTTACGATTAGACATGGCATGTAATGTAATGATTATTGATAAAAGACAATGTAATGAATTTTTAAGCGCATGATTGTAGATCCTTTACCAAGTTCATAGTTAATTAATTATATTGTTTTATATATTGATCAGTCAGCGGAAATCGCAAATAATCTCGGTCGGTTTTTCATCTTCAGTTGGATTCTTGATGAGAGAGCCAAGCGGTACAAGTTTCGCTAGCGACTTCGCACATAGCTGACAGAGCCCGGCTGGTAACTTCATAATCTAGAAAGTTTATTAGAAAATATAAAATAAGAAATGAAAAGCATATTACAAAACATTAATTAATCTAAAAAACTTTTGTAAACTATAATTATTTTTAATTAACAAATATTTTCAGAACTACAAAATTGCTCAAATAACTATCATTTTTTAAAACACTTTTTAAATAAGTAAATAATGTATTAAATAACAGTTTGTTGAAATAAAAAGTGTTGCTTTAATATATTTCAAACAATTTTAATATATTTCAAAGTAATATACTATATAATAAAATTATATTATTTGATATTGTGATGTTAATCATATTTAACAGATGGGGTTAGTTTTATATATTCGCTATATGTAAATTTTAAAATTGGCTTTTACTTTGTAAAATTATATCTTTTTTGAAAAGTATTGTATAAAGATAACGCAAAATGTTTTGTACTTACCAGTTATAGTGTTAGATCGTTTGCCGAATATGCTACCGTTAAAGGGTGGCTTTTTGTAGGCAGTCTCTGCACTGATAACGAAGACTACTACAATAACAGCAAGTGCCAGGAAAAGGCGAATGGAAACCATGTCGACGTGTTGATTTATTTTTATCTAAAAATAATAAATTTATTGATTATTTATTATAATTTTTAAATAACTTTATTATCTTGTAATAATTAATAGAATAAATTATTGTTGGTTCAGTAATAAGATTATTGATAACAAATTTTGAAAAGATTCACCGTAAATCTAAATAAATTTTAATATAAAATAAAAAAGCTTACTTTTTCTTATGTAAATTTGAAAAAAACTTGCTTGATTCTTAGAAGATTGTCGGTCACCGAATGTTATAAGCGGCGCACAAAATACGAGCTTTTATACTCTAGGAAACAACTTAAAGACAAATGTCTCTATCAAACGCAGTCAACCTACATTATTTGCAAATAACGTCATGAGTTCCCCCAATAGGATATTGATTTGTTGCGAAATATCAAAATTCGTAATAATCGACGATGACCAGTACGCAAGAACATCACGTAAACTCGCGCTATTTAAAAATTTAGTGGAATCAGAAATTTGGGTATGTGAAAAAAATATATAAATTATTATTCTTATTTAGAAATTTACGACATTTTATATGAAAAAATATATTACGTTAGAGATATATAACACGTTATATGTTAGAGATAAATAACACGAATAAGATAGGATAAGATAAGATCTATAGTTATTATAAATAAAAATAACATATAAGATTCTTTCACCTGAGCGGGATGTATCCGAAAGATGGATGATACTCGACTGATGCTTCTTCGATGGTTGAATCGGCTTTTATAAGACAGTAGCCTATATTAAAAGGATGTACGTGTGAAAAAGATAATAAGCTATCACAAAATATAATGTAATTGAAGACTTTGATGAGATTGCCTTTTACTCCAAGGAAATAAAGATTGCATTGATCGCACATGTCTCGAAAATTGTGACAGAGCTGATTACAGAGCTGATTACTGATTACAGAGCGCAATATTTAGTGTAAAATTAATATCTAATTTATATAAGATTTTGGTTAAAGAATTGCATTAAAATATTTTATGTAAGATATACTAATAGATTTAAATTTAATGATTATAGAAAAATTATTATACAAAATATAAAAGTTGAAGAATAATATAATTATTAAATAATTTTATATTAATTTGACAATAGTTTTAAAGTATATTTATATTTAACATGTGTCAAATATGTAATTAATATACAATGTAAAAATACAATGTATTTTTTTTTGTATGTTTAAATAATTAATTAAGAGGCTTTATATACATATTTATTTTTCTGAAATACAATATACAATTTTAATAAGTAATCCTAGAAAATTTATTAATGAGCTAAATAATTAATTAAAAATCTGTTTTCTCGCTCTCTTTATATTTTTAATTACTTAAAAATATTATCTATAAATGGTAAAAATAGTATTTATCTATTGTTGATATTTTCTCTTATTCTCTTATTTTCTCCGATTACATCAGTTGATAAAAGACTTTGTTATATTTTCCGCATACGATACAATCAATAATCAATATTTGCAAATAGTTTCAAAATATTTTAAGGAAGATTAATCTTTCAGATATTAATAATATTGCAAACTTGTTATATTATTATTTATATATTACTTAAACATTTTAGTTCTTATTTAGAAAAAGAGTTATAATATTAAAATAATAATAGAACTTTTAGAATTCTTATCGTAATAAATATTAGTTTTATTATTGCATTTTATTAAGTATATATAATATATAATATATAACATTTTTGCGGTATATACATAATTCATAATTCTGACACAAATAGTAATTATAATTATAATAAACATAATTAAGAAGATTATGATTTAAAGAATGCTGAAACTGCTTTAAAATGGGTAAATGAAAAATGAGTTATTAAATAATTACTTTATTTAGCACTTTATTTAACAATAAATCTTTTGAAATAAGAATGCTTGGCTTGTGTATTGTTATATTGTATATTTCAAAGAGTGAATGTTTATAGATTGTACAATTAGATATATGAAATTTTGTAAACAGTATTATACCTTCTCTTATGTTATTATACAATATGTATGCAATAGAGTAATATGGATATTTATCTTAATATTATTAATATACATACTAAATAATTATATAAGTAATTATATATACATTAATATAAGATAATGAATTATTAGAGCCAAATTTAATCACGCTCTCGACGATCGATCGATTTTCGAATATATGTATGTGTGTTTATAATTATTATAATATTATTATTATAATATTCTTTCTAAGTAACCAATAAATAACTCTCTAGTTAATTATTGCTCCTATTCACTTACAAAAGCGGATATAATGCATCTGCTGTATTAAAAAATTTATAGAATCAAGAATGTGCGTATTCTTATCGATTGATAGCCAAGAGCGCAATACGATTGAAAAGACATCGTATAGGCATACTAAAGTCTACGTCTTATTGTCGCGTCACAACTTTTTCTTTTTAATTCGGCATATAAGCAAACACGCCGCCGATTACTCGCTGTATGATCGATTTCTTTGTAAAATTAATAGCTTTCCGATCAAGAACAGTGGATGATGATTGACGACGTATTAATGCCAGCCAAGACTTATCATACTAAAGAACGAGTAATTAATTTGTGCTTTATTATATTCTTATCATTTATGTAATGTTATAAAAAGCGGTTGTTATCGCCAAAAGATAATATTAAAGACTACCAAATGGAAGACATGGATTTTGTTTTTCGGTTTCTTTTTACCTATTTAATATAGTCTATCATATAAAAGTTAGCTGTTTTAGGTAAACTATAATTAGCGCGTGAATACACATTGCATATTGTGCGCGCGTATAAATAGAATTTATTGCATAATACACATATCACACATCGATGTCTTGTTCACACGTTGCAAGTTTTTCCAACAAATTTTAATTATGTTTTAACATACATTTATATAGATATAATTAGTTTGTTTTAACAAAAAGTCAATCATTTTATTCATATTTAATAAATTTAAAACATTAAGCTATTTTTTTACGAAGATTATTAAGGAATAAAATTTTAAACAAAAATATGTGCAAAAACATAAAATATATAAAAACATAAAATATACAAATATTTTTATTTAAGTTGTGTATTATACGATAAAGAAGTATTTCGGTGAAGTAAGTTATTTCGATATATTATTGAATGCAATATTGTGAAAATATAATATTTCTTAAACATGCTATAATGCTAAATAAATCGAATAAGAACAAAAAATATATCATACACATTTATTATAATAACATTTGTTATACAATTCGGTTCTATTAAAAAAATATATATTTTATCTGAAATACTTGCAAATATTTCCAAATCATGATCGATGAAAATGCTATTGTTGTGCTTTCTTAATTAAAACAAAATATATAACGCAAACCATGTGAACTGGACCTGTGTCGAACTTTCTTAAGCCTATAACGATTAAACATTAAGTGAAAAATCTTTATCTATTTATGTTACAATCGTTAACTTAATATTTTGCAATTATTGTTTCAATTATCGTTTCAATTATATTTATATATCAAGCTTTGTAATAATTTTCCCAAATTTTTTTCTGTAACAATTTATTTTCTTTTTGTATTTTTCAATAAGCATTTTGTTTCAATTTTATCCAAATTAAGTATATAAAAATAAGAGTAAAATGTAAATAGATATGTGTTTAAATGTGTATAATTTCGTATAAAAATATAAATACAAGTAAAAATTAGTGAATGTAACGTTGCACATATAAAAGATACATATTAAAATTGAGAAAATACAAATCTGTTTTATAAATAGAACAATGCAGATAGAAATATGGATGATTTTATAAAGCGCTGTTGAACCATTATCATAAAAACGATATTATATAATACTTAACATTACGCACAGTATTGCAACAAATAATAATTTTTTAATTTATCTTAATCAGAATTATTATTATTATATATCAATTATTATTATTATTATTATTATATATCAATTTACTGTAACAAAATTTAAATAAATTTCAATAACAAAGTATGTTAAAAAAAATCACTTCAAGATATTTCTTCTAACGCGTCTTTGATTATGATGAGACTCATTTAACAGAATAGAATAGTTTACCGTAAACAAATTAATCTAAACGAGCTATATAAATTTATATCCTTTTTCACGTGAATGTCCTTATCTCTTTATCCACATCTTATCTCTCAGTTCATCTGTCTAACTCTGGATTTTGACAGTGGCAGAATTGATCACCGCGTTCGTATTTACACAGTATTTTGCACACTCGTTTCCAATCATTAACGAATTCCTTGAATAGTGGATTTTCAGGGATTTTCTCTTCTTCTTCCTTCTTGGAAGGAAACAGCTTACGACGAAGTGCAGAATCATGCATCATCTCATGCACATCATCCGTCGGGATATCCCTGTCCACATCGATGTCTTCCATCATGGGCTCCATTTCCGTTTCTATCATCGGTTCGTCCATTAGCATTTCATGAATATCATCCATCGAATGACTATGATCCCATGACGAATATTCCTCGTTGTCAACCGATCGTTTTGCTCGTTGTGGAGCTTCGGTAGTAATAGGCGCAGCAGTCGTAGTGGTAGTGGTAGTATTCTCTGGGTTATTCGTCTTTGTACACTCATTAACTAATTTTCCCTTTTTCAGATTGTTGTCCTTAAATAACTCCTCATGAAGCTCGCATAGGATGATCATATCGAGAGGCGAACTGAGGATGACGTCCAAGATATCGGCCGCTATCTCCTTTACCAAAAAGTTGAGCCTCCAACTTTCGTGAAGGCGCATGGTGTTTGGACTCAAGGGTGTTAAAGCGTCACAATAACATCCTAGATTCGCTTGAAGAGATGATCTCATAGCAAAACAGTTAACTTCCGAAGGAATTGATAGCTCGACACCACACAGTTTCAAGCAGTGGCTGGCAAGTACCCACGCTTGATGCTCGTCGCTTTCAGACTGGAGCCTGCAGTTTACCTTAGGATATCGGGGAAATAGCTCCGGATCCCGCGCTCGCTCGGATTCAGTCTCTGCCCCGGGATTGCAAAGCAGAGCGCAAGCGTCGACCACGAGAGGCCTTGGCACGCTCGCGGCGCGGCCCACCAACGCCAACAGGAACACCCAACGAAACGTAGGCGTCATCTGAAAATGATGGCTAATCAATATTCTGAAGGGGATGCGGAGAACCGCGTTCCGATGCTTATTGGGAGGTATCGTATGGCTAAGGAGGAATTTCTGGAGTCTGACCGCGCTCTTGTATCTATACGTCTGAGAGAATCAGAATAGAATTCGATAGCCACTATATATAGATCAAAACGAGGGTAGAACAGTTACAGGATTCTACATGACATAATTGATATGACTTGTATAGACAAATAATATGCATATTGAAAGTGCGATTTTCGCATTACTATTATTTCAAAAGTCTCTTATTCTGATTTAAGACATCTTTACAAAATAAATTTACTTTGTCTTTTTAAAGCTCATATTATTAAATAGTATTTCTGAAATAGATAATTAAATTTAATTATATATTCTACTCACCTTCATAAAAATATGAAAAGAACGCTGATTCAGATTTCGGGTTTTTCTTCAGCAGAATTTTATATACATAAATATTCCGAAGTATAAATCTGACGTTGAGAGGAATACTGATATTCTTTTCAAATTAAACTATTACTTGAAAGTAACGTTTATAAAGAGACATACGGCTTGCACGAAGTTCAAAATACAAATATCTCTTTCGGCACATAAGCTGATGGCTTTATATCTTCAACGTCAAGCAGGGCCGATCTTAGAATTAGTAATGCCTAGTACCAATTGATGATTCTCCTCTCTTTTGTTATATTATTTACAATTTGAGTTTGTTATTTACAATTTGATTAACAAAAAGAAAAAAATTCAAATATAATGTCAGTTTAGATATTTGTAAAGTAATATTATTTAAAAATATTTTACATTATTACATAAAAATCATCTATATTTTATCTTTATTTATATTTATTTATACAAATAAAATTAAGCATATATAATTATCCATTTAAAATAGATTTAAACACAGTTGAATGATTTTGTCTAAGATTTTAACAATAAATATAATATATTTCTCTGTACGTCATTGTTTTCTTTAACATTAGAATTTATAGAAAATTAAAAAAAATCTATATAAAATTTAGTTTAGTTTTGTGAACAAATCTTAGATTATGCTGTAAAATTTCTTCTAGCTTGACGATACTACTTAAATAAAATATAAACTTTTTCCTGGAAAAAGTTTTAGTTTAGTTTAGTAATCCAAACTAGGTGCCCCGAATTTGATTCCCAGTATGAAAATATTCACACATCCCTAAAACCGTTACCGTCCAATTGTCTTACTTAAGCATAACATAAGCTGTTATTGCTTAGCGACACAAAGAGAAGGTCGCGACATTTAAACAAAGACAGATAATCATTGGCAAAAATGAATATTTCAGTAACAGAGTTTAAAGTATACATATATATAATTGGAATGCTAAATTATTTATATTATTAATGATTTTTTTGGACAACAATTATGTAAAAAATGTAAAAATATTTCAATTTATTTTACATATCTTTTTATTTGTTAAACTTTCTAACAATAAATGAAAATATAAAATTGCAAAATATATTTTAAAAGAAATTATGATTATAATTACCAAAAAATATAATTTTTAGTAAATAGTTTTTGAAAACAAAAAGCAATAAATTAAAAAATATGTACATATTAATTATTATGCTTAAACTATAATAAATTCTTTTTGAGTTATAAATTAAAATTTAAAATCAGCGTGATTAGTCGTTATAATTCTCTGATATAACAGAATTGTTAATGTATATTACATGGTTCAAGTGCTATTTAAAACAAAATCTTTGATGCATAAAAAATGTTACAAAAGTAATTTGCTTAAACAAAAGTATAGTTATAAATATTATATTATATAATATTAAATTAGTAAATAATAAAAATAATTATTTTATACCAAATAAATTTTGTACATACTTGTACATACGTATAACCTTGTCATTTTGTTTGTTATTTTATAAATTAAATCTAAATAGTGTGCGAATGATGATAATATAGTCTGCCAAATTATTAAAAATATATTTAATATAAATGTACATAGATAGTATTTTGTAGAATTTTAAAAAAATTTTGCGTTTTATTTAATTAATTATTGTGTTATTATATAATTCAATATATGTTATATAAATCTCAATATAAATCAACCAGCTTATAAATTTAGGTACATTATCGTCTAGAATATTTTTATTTATTTTAATTAAATTTCAATTAAATATTTAATCTATAAAGACTTAAAAATCGGAAAGATCTATAGCTTGTTTATAAGAAATTTTATTTGTTAACTTTGATCATAAATTTGATTATTAATAAAATAAAGCAAAACAATATTGTGAATAATTTTTTCATTAATATGCTGCTTTTATAGAATTAACATAACAGTAAACAAAAACTAAATTGTTAGATAAATTGCCAAAAGACAAAGAACAAGTTACATAACTTAGATAAATAAATTTCTTAATTATATCTAGAGATAAAAAGGAAAAATTGATTCTGAATTACACAATTTTACAATGTTGATTTATTTAAATTCTTATCTTTTAATGTTACATTTTTAGTAATAATTAATTCATAAATTTGTAAATAAATAAATAAATTTTGAATGCGTACACACAATGTATTACATATTTCAAAATTAACACGTAAAATACAATTACAAGACAATTAAAATACAATATAAAGACAAATACCTGTCACAAAAATCTGTAGTGATTAATTGGTAACAACTAATTTTTGTTGAGTAATAAATTCTAATATCTGAAAAAATATTAAAAAGTTAATAATTTATTATTGCAAATATTTTTTACTTTCAAACATGTAATGTTTTTTAGAAGAGATAAGAAAGATGCAAGATAGATTTATTACAATAAAATTTTGTTAGTAAATAATGAGTACATATATTTATTAAAAATTTACTAACAAAATTTTGAGAAATTTTTTTTTATAGAAATCTCTTTTCGAGTATTTTACGGAATGTCAATTCAATCTAAAGTTTCTCAAAAGATGAAAAAAGATTGTCAGCATCTTCCAATAATTGGATTACTCTCTTCTAAAAGTGGTTGCGGGGAATCGATGCTGCCTGACTGTACGGTTCCATTAAATCGACCGACCTACTCCTCTTCTTGCCAACTATGATGAAATAACTTGAAACCCCTCTTAAAACAGCTACCTCGAGCTGATAGTTGCTGCTCGTAGAAACTTTGTGTTAAAGCTTTTCACGTGACAATAATGCCTCTTCTGATATGTCATGACAACTAAGCCTGTGAACAACGGTATATTGTTTCATGATATAAGTATTGTCTTTCATCAGTGGTTGCAGCAATTCACGTGAACATGGCTATTTAATTGAAATCCAATTTACAGTACAACGATGTTACATTCAATAGAATTAATTTTATGAATATCACAAGAATGGATGGTAATATGATCCATCAAATTGACATATTAGGTATCAGTGGAATCATTTATATTTTTTAAAGAATTCATAGAAGATTAAAATATTTTGTTTTAATAAATATAAATTATAAAAACCAGGAATAAAATTATTATTAGAACTTGAAACAAATAATAATTTAATCATGTCACACAATATTTTCATATTTCCTAATAACAGTTATACCTCAAAATGAGACATGTTTAACTACTGCTCTTACGTTCGCATTATATTATTACAATCGAAAAATGTAATTAGTCAGGCGTGTACAATGCAATTGTTATGACATAATTAAATTGAAATGATAATATAATATTTCATTGTTTTAATATATGTATAGTAGTAATATACATGTATTTTCATAAATTATATAATATATATATATATATATATATCCTTTAATAGAAGGATTGTACATAGAAAATCGTAGATGATCGTTCCTGATTTCAATTTTCTCATTGTTCACGAAATTGACACGGTATTGCAAAAATAATAAGTTCTTGTGAATTATGTTACATTGGGTGCGCCCACATAGAGGATTTATACGCCTACAGGCACAAAATATATCGACCTCAGTGAGAGAGTACGCGCGGCACACTAGTTACGATCCTGGCCCTTTCTGGGTCTCGTCCTGTCCTCCACCTACAACGAAGAACGGAGGACGATATTGATTAAATTCACCGACGGCCATTTTGTCCCGGCGCTCTATTGGTTGCCGTCCATTTTGTCCTTTCCACCCCCAACGGTATAACCATAAACGTTTCTTCCTCTTCTAGTATCGTCGTCCCTGTTTACCTACCTGTTCACGTTCTTCACCCCGAGCCACCCACGTTGTCGGTCGAAGACGACGCAGGCGTCGCGACATTTTCCACGGAAGAAATCGGACTATCAGCAATTAGATTCTTCTATGGTAGACCGTTGCAGAATCCCTAATGAGCGTCCCGTTTCTGTTCCAGATGTTCCAGATGTTCCAGATGATTTTGGAGATATAAATTCAATATTACAACATTACCCTTTGATTGGTAAATCATGGGATGATTATTATTTTAGATTTTTATTTTCTTATTATTTTAAAAAAGAATATAGTCTATAAAAAGATTATATCAGCAGTCTATTTATTGACACTCTATTTTATTTATAGTTAATTTCTAGTTGACGTCAATAAAATCTTGAAAAAGACTTAAAAAAAGACTGAAAGAAAGTTAATTCTCTCTGATAACATTATTTTCTATTATTTAGTATAATATTATTCCATTAATTTTATATTTGGTAATAGAATGCTCGAATTTAAAATGTATATATATATATATATGCATATAATATTATTTTAAAATTAATAGAAGATAAGGTTTTAATATTATTTTGGCATTGGTAATATATTGATAATATATGTATATATTTGATACTTTTAATATTTTATAAAAAATTTTTAAACATAATGATATACAGAGAATACATGGTACAATCACATCTAGATATGAATGTTGAAAATTTATGAACAGTGATGTACCATCCCTTAACCAGAGCCATCTTGGACTTTAACCTACCTTTCTGTTTCCGCGCAACGTTGATGCCTCGAGAGCTTGAGATTCTCATTTTTTGAACGCCGTGAGATGTTTCTCCATCTTGGCGGTCTTCTAAGATAGCGAATTGAATATGACATACAAAAATATCGGTAGCGGATACGTTCCGCTATGAAAACCGCACGCGGCTAAGATAAACAAAAAGGAATCTGGAAACGAGAAAAAAGCAAACAAGAAGAGAAATTGGCATACTTGCTCTCCTCTTCTCTCTGACGTCAAAAATGACATTCGCTTCGGGATTGGTGGCATGGCGACACGCCCTGGTATCCACCACCCTTGTTTCACCCTTCAACTCCCACCAGTTGTGACTGGACACGGCCACGCCTACGCAAAAGCACCCCCGATAGGGGAGGATGGCTGCGTAGGTTGCGCGAGATGAAACTAGGTCAGGCAGACTCGAGGCAGGCCGAGTCAGGCCGAAGCTCGAGAGTCGTCCAGGCGTTTTCGACACGAAGCAGTCCCTTGGAAACCACCCTGAAGCCCGTCATCGCTTTACCTCTCCGTCGGCATTTCACCCTTAAAATCTACTCTATTCTGCTTAAAATCTCACTAATTTAACAAGACAAAATCTAGTCCCTGTTGAGATCAAAAGTTGAGACCGCATAGAAGATTCGGCGAAGAAGAAAGCAGGATTAAGTAAGTGCAAGATGAAAAGGTACAAATAGACTATTTGTTCTTGTATTTTGTAATTATTTTTTAATATAATATTTATAGGTATGAAAAAAGTTGTATATTAAAAAAATTTAAATGTATATTTTTAAAAAAATTCTTGAAATCAATTCAAGTCAGCCTTAAAACATGCATAATAATTTAAATGATTTTGCTGTTAAGAAAAGAAACTTTTTAATGCTAAAAGAAATAATAAACACATATTAATCACAAAATTAGAAATTTATGATATGTAAATGTAAAATTTAATTACTAAATTGTAAATTAATAATGTTTCTTATTAAAATAATATTAGATCTCTCAGTATGTTAGATAGATTTTATAATTTTTATTTTCTTTGTCACAAAAATCAGCCATTTTTAAATAAATAATTTACAATTTTTAAGTACATAATTTTATTTATTATTACAATTGTTAAAATGTTAAGAATTTATAAATTATAATTTTTGTATTATTAATTTACAATTATGATGATTATAATAATCTTTTTCTAAGTGCAAAAATATGTCTTTTTCTTATAGATTTATAAAAATCTTTTCAAATTTTCAAAAATAAAATCTAAAGTAAGCCCAATATGTTAGAAATAAAGAAGTAAAGAATTAAAGAACTAAATTTGGAAAAAACAAAAGAAAATGTTAAAACATAAAATAAAATAATGTTGCTGATCTTTTTAAAATTATTAAATTAGAACTTCATGTGTTAAAAAAATTTATTTTTTTCTGTTCTTTTAAATTTTCTACATTTTAATGTAAATTACGCATATTTTTTATTTAAAAGGAAGAAGTTACAATGTATTGATATAAAAAACAAATAAAGCTCTTTAATATTTAATAAAATATATTCTTTTTTAAATACATATTCATTAATCATGCATGTTTCATAGCATTGTAATAACCTCTTCTTCAAATTTTCTTCTGTTGCATGTTATAATATTATATAAAGGAAGTGGACGTTTTTCGGATTTTTCCCAGTTTACTTCTCATGTATATGTGTGCCTCTGTGTGTGTGTGTGTGTGTGTGTGTGTGTGTGTGTGTGTGTGTGTGTGTGTGTGTGTGTGTATTGAGTGGTGTATGTACTTTCAGCTCTATTAATTCAGAGAGCAAAGCGATCAGATTGTTTGAGAAAAAGGTTATCTTTTAAGTAAACTTAGAACACAAAAAAATAATTAATGATACATCTTTGCTTATTTTTAATTATATAATTTATATTTTTATAATAGATAATTAGCTAAAATTTATCGTTTCCTTTGTTTAATCATTACAGTTTGCAATTTTATCGTATCTGACTTGTAAATTTAATCTCTTGTCTTTATCTAATAATCTATAATAATAACATGATTAATTATAATTCTGTGTACTTCCTCACTCTACTTTTTTCTCTATATCCTCTTATTATTATCCGTCCTCTTGTTATTATCCGTTTATAAAGTTTTTTGCTGTATATCAAACCAATATATCAAAGGAAGTGACTTTTAGCATATTCAAGAATAGTCGTTTATTTTTTGCATTCATTTTAATGAGATATTACATTGTAATTTATTTTTACTTAATTAATGTCGTATTATTTTAGTTGATTACTTTTTATTTCTCTTTTTCTATATTTTTTATAAATTTTATTCTTTAATTTAATTGCCATTTGTTATATTTTAAAAAGCTTTTCTATATATTGATGTTTATTTCCCTGCATTTTTCTTTTTATATTAGTATTTTATAACAATTATAATTTACTATATAATTATTTTTTTTATATTCTATTATTTATTTCTTTATGTATCTTCAATGTATTGATCTTAAAAAGTCAATCTTAAAGACTTGTTGGTAGATATTACTACTTCTTTTATTTCGAAAACATACATAATTTTATTGAGAAGAAGTTGGGAATTAATTTGCTTAGAACTTGTAATGTATATTTTGGTGTAATTGAGAAAGTGCTAAAGCTTTGTGTTCTAGGAATTAATTAAAAAAAGACGACAAACTGCTCTCTGTCCATGTTTCTTCAGTCGCTCAGCCTATCGCGGCTACTACGCGGCGATTCTCGCTTAATTAATAATTTCGCAATCACGCTGAAATTCGCCGAAGACTCGACGCCGCAGTACGTCGTGATTGAAGCGGAACCTGTTGTTGATTGTTGTAGGAACTGTTGAGGCGAGGGACACAAGCAGAGACATGGACAATGTGCAAATGATCGGCACTAAAATCACAGCGATCAAGGAATACTTATATGTAAGGCATCCACATTGCACATCATTCATTACGTCTGCTCATTTGAATGAGGTCGACATCGACAATGTCTTCATCAATTATTTTTATTCAATTATTATTGCTAAGATAAAATGTCCTTATTTTATATTTTGGTTGAGCAATGAGTTTGTCGTCTTTATAAAGGAATAATCTCACACACTTAGTAGATATGTTATATTAACTCGTAATGCTGATCAACATTCAAGCGGTAATGACTGGACGAAAATCAGTGATATGTATATCTGACTAATATTTATGTGAAAGAGTATATATTCGGCTACACTCAGCGACGAGTATAGTATTGGTGACAACATTGTCGATAAGACCTGTCTCGCTGATTTCAATCGTAACTATAATCAGGGATTCTTAGACTAACCGTGTTAATTCCTTGGTTTTCAGCAAGCGATTGCCGATATTAATTATTATGTATTAGTTTATATATAAGCGGATTAAATTTAAGTTGATTTAATTAATAAAACTTTTGTCTAAAAATTTTAATATTTAAAAAAAAATAATCCAATTAAATAAACATCACACATAAGTGAAAGTGCGTTTTAAGAAGAAAGAATTTTGTTCCTTTGGATTTCAGAATTTCGCACGAACGCATTCGCCTACCAGACTAATGAGCTCCGAAAACACGTATTCGCTCTCTAAAGAGCATTGCAACTTGAAGTACTCAGGTAAGTGACAGTTATGAGAGAGTTTTTTAAATTAATTTTTTAATTAATTTTTAATAAATTTTATTAGAATATTGCATGAGTTTAAAAAAATATTTTACAAACAATTAATAAATATGCATGAAACACGCCGTTTTATTCATTCATAAATTTTTGATTAAACTGCAATTCCAATGATGAGAAATATCAGTATTACATTGATATATTCGATGCAAGTACAGACTTGGCTTTTTGAGCGCAAAATCCAAGAGTCACAATATTGTCCTGATTTCGTGAGGCTTGTGGGTCGGAAGGGTGCATAATAATAGAGGATTTAGAATTATTCTAAAGAGGTTGGTGTCGAGTGGCTGAGGACAGATTACACGCCGCAGGGAGACGAAAGGGTTTGTCATCTTCGTCGTTTGGAAAGTGTTAGCGGGCGATAACGACACGCGCGTGCCGCTTATAGAACTCTGAATATCTTAATGGATTTGCTTCAAAGAATACTTTTTATTTTAAACAACTAGTAATCGTAAATTACGTGTAATGAGCATTTTATTTGAGAACGTAAGTGAATTACGTCGTAATGAGAAATCTCTAGTATTACTATAAATTAACGTTGTAATCCGGCTTATAAATCGGCGTGACTAATTGCCACGTGTAACGATCCCCAAAAAGCGCTTTGATTAAAGTCGAAATGTGAGGGTCTAAACACATCTGGTACCAAGCGACTTATACGTAGATATATTTATGAACTTAACGATACATTTGAGGAAATCAAAATATCAAATCTAAGAATTACAATTAGGTTATAAATAAATTAATTATATTTGTTGCATGTAAAATTATACACGAATTATTAGTGCACATTCTATTGTATTAAAAGGAATTAAGAGTTACTTGAATAGATGCTAATTATGTTACTTGAATAGATGCTAATTAAATGAGACCTATAACGTAATGAAAGCTTGAGTGATAGCTATGGGCTTGTTTGTATCTTGAAAAGTTGTATAAACCTCGAGAAAAAGATGGAGGTCTTTGGACATTAGATTGATGGAGCCGGATTAGCTGGATTCGACCGCTGGGAGCCGGGGATTTCTCTTGTCTAACCATAGGCTCAAGGCAATTCACCATAAGTTTTCGCGCGCCCTTCTTTCTTTAGCCGGCTTTTATTTAGCATTCTTATGATCATTGAAAAAATACTTTTATCAGTCGAAGTGAGAAAAATCTTTTGAAAGAAATATTATTAAAATATTGTTGAATATTATTAAGAAAAACTATCTTTAAAAATTTACATTTTCGATTAAACATTAACTATAGCTTAAATTAATTTTTATTTCATTGCCAAAGATTTAATAAAATTATTATTTACGTTTATATTAAGTTAATACTAATAAAGTAGTGTGTTCGTAAAACTTGTTGATTAATTATGTTTTTGTATAACATTATCGGTATATAAATAGTATATATTTAAGATAATAAAATTACATTTACATAAAATACATTTACATAAAATACATTTTGCGCAATACTATTAATTATGTTAAAATAAAAATAACAATGTTATTGTTATATTTCTTTAAAAAATCTCGTACGCACCACTATTTTAAATGCTAAATAATAATTTGAAAGCAAAGTCTCATAGTAGCTTCGCTGTTTATCCATGGGATCACCTTAATGCAATGGAAAACGAGGGGATGGTTTACTTCATGGGATACTTTATGGTTGCGTCGCGATAGAAGGACAGTTCAATTTACCCAGGCTTTACCATGAGCACATTGATGTTCTATTGCAACGACTTCGTTCTGTCTCCATTGAATCTATATGATTCAATGATCTAGCTAACATACATATTAAGAGACATCGTAATATTTTTCATAGCGCTTTGCTTGACATTGCATAAAAAAATGATATTTTATATAAATTGATATGTTATATATTATATGTTGATATTTTATATAAATAGCATGTAATAAACTTTTGTATGAAAATCATATATTTTATTTTTAATATAATTTTTTTATATTTTATATAATTTATATTTTTTATATTATATTTTTTATATTTTATATAATTTTTATATTTTATATAATTTATTTATACAAATTTAATAAATTTAATGTATAAAATTAGTCTCTAGAGCTTTATCATACATTTTAATATTAATTTCTTTTGATATTAATTATGTGAAGTTTGAATTAACAGTTGTATTATTTGAGGAACAATTGAATTACGCATGATTTTTGTAATGCAATAATTTGCATGCCATTGTATTAATAAATGAAAGTAGTATCAAGATCAATAAAGGAGATGCTGTGAGGAGAGAAGAAGAAAGAAGAATATAAATAAGATGGTGTCATCCCACCAAACAAGTGAGAGTGTGTCAATATAGGTCTATACTTTCAATTGTTTGATGAGGTGAAATCATTCTAGTCACGCGTTATCTTCAAGGATGATATCAAAGTTATAATGGGTAGGTCAGACATATCGAAATATCAGTCGAAAGAATCTTATGAATGCGATACCAATCGATATCGTTAGTAGAAAAGATTTCACTTGATCCCAACAATTAAGAGAGTTATCGTAGTACTACATCAATATTGTATATCATTATCCGTTTCTATTTTTAAATCATCATTATCAGAACGCAAATTTGAAAATAATATTGACCTATATATAATATATATAATCTGTTTTGAGAAAACATTAGAAAAATCATGAATAACTATTAAATTTATGCATGATTGTGTTATATTAATGTTTATTATATGTTTTTACATATATGTTTTTACATAAATGTTACTTAACGAATAAAATAATGAAAAGAAAGAATTTGTGTTTGCAATTTTTCAATTTGTTCGCAGACATTCTGCCGCACAATGCAGAAGGTTACCCGGCCACTAGAGAGTTCTTGATGAAGGTGGTGGACATCTTGTTGGATTTTGTCAAATCAACGAATGATAGAAATGCGAAGATCCTTGATTTTCACCATCCTGCGGATATGATGCGTCTACTCGATTTAGAAATTCCTGATACCGGATTAAGTCTTCAACAACTTCTATTGGATTGTTCCACAACCTTGAAGTATCAAGTAAAAACCGGTAAGAATGATATTCAAACTTTTTCCATTTTTTTAAATATATTAAATAATAGATAGTAA